TGCAGAGATTTGGCTGGTAGCATCACATTTTGGTCATTTTGCACTGGTTGTAGATGTTTGACCGTGTCATTATGGTTTTGGTTTGTGTTATAGCAGTGCAGCAAAATTTGTTGCTTTCAAGTGATGGAACATTTGTTTGGCATTTTGTAGTAACAAGTCAAATGTGTGTGTAACAGGATGCACATAAACTATGGGAAGGCTTTGAGGATAGTCAATTTGGTGCAAGCTGTGAAAGGGTATTGTTATTGATTGCAGACTATGGTTGGAGCTTTGTGTTGTGAATCAAGGCTCTTGTAACAGACACTTTTGTTATTATTATTTTTTTGAAATATGGACTTTTTGGTTATAAAAAAATGCAAATTGGGCTTGTAAAAAAATTGTAATTTGGACTCAGATTTTTTTGTGATTTTTTTTTTTTTGCAATAGTAAATGAATAAAAATTGGAGTTTTATGAAATAGATAATGGGAAAAAATATGGATATGTGGAATTACAAAAAAAAAAGATAATGAGTATGGATTGGATATTTTGGGAAAATAAGTTGAATAAAGATAATGGAAATGGATTAGAAAACTGAATTGAAAATATCTTTGAAATTGGTTATGAAACTGGAAGTTTAAGTGGGATTGGAAAAAGGAAAGAAAAACAAAAAGAAACTTGAATATGAAATTGAACTTGGAATTAGAAAAAAAAAAGTGAAATTAAATTGGATTGAAAATAGTTTTAATTTAACTAGATATTAACAAAAGAAATGGTTATTTAGACATGAAATGGACAATTCGATTTTGAAATGGATTTGACATATGGTTATTGTAAATGGATATGGATTTTGTAACGCACCACCAAACTTGAAAGACACTTAAAACCTCTACAAATGCACTTGACCGCCACAAATTCTGAACAACATCACAACCTCAAATTTATCTTAACATGACCTTCAATTAAAAAACAAAACTAGGCGAATTTTAGATCAATAATGAGAACCAAAATCCTAATTCATAATCTTTGCTATAACCTGATAACCTGATACTTAAACAAACCACTTGTTTCACCAAAATTAGGTCAAACCTCCATTGAATCTCAAACCACACCACATACATCCAAACTGATAACCTTTCCCGATCCTTGATTCAGTCCCGCAAAACCTGAGCCTCAAAGAACTTGTGATGAAGCCATATTACACTGAATTATTGAGGGAGGGAGGTCTCTTAGGAGTATGGGGACTTAATTGTTGAATGACCTATCCAAAACATTGATTGATCAACCCTTGAAGCCTCTTGAAGCAAACCATAATCTGCAAGAAACAAAACAAAGCAAGAATTAAATAATTTGGTTATTTATGCATGAATGATTGACCTAAATGATATGCAAAAGATCAAAAAATCAACGGGTGAAATTTGGGGTGTATATATATAATAAAACTTAGAACGAATACAGTAAGGAATATGGGTAAATAAAAATGAACCTGCAATGTAAATTTGGAACAATAGAATGCTGGAATTAAACTTTGAAAAAATTATTTTGGCAAGATTGAGTCACAAACGATCCAAGTCTACAAAATTTCTTCTAAAATTTGACTACTAAATTGCACTTATCACTAGATGTGGGTAAATAAGTCATTTTCTGCCTAATACAATACTAAGAGCTTGAATGATTAAAACTAAAATTGAAATTCTAGTATATAGCTTAGAATTCGTGTAAACAACTGCTGAAAACTAGAGAAGAGTGGTTGAGAAAAACATGTAGAGTGGGGAGACTAAATCAACTAAAGTGGGGAGAAAAACCAGCTTTAGTCAGGCTGACGGTCGTCGGCTGGGGATGATGGGCATTAGCTATTATTTTTTTTCATATCTTTAAGGGTTGACAACTGTCAAGGGGGGCTGACAGGCTTCAGCCCGCTAGATTTCCATTTTGTAGCATTTTTGGCCTTTTTTCAATCCCTTTTTCTTCATTCTTCCTCGCATGAGTACCCAATCAACACATACATGCGGCACACAATAAATAGCAACGTAACACAAATAAAAATATACGAAATGACATGGAAATGCATGTGAATCGAGTCAAAATACACTATGTGTTATCCCGTTATCAACTATCCTAGTGTCTGCTTTTTTTCGGGGTGGAGTTTGTTGCATAATTTCGTAGTTTTCCTCTTGCGATTCTTTTTCCTTTGGTTTTTCTTCTACTTCCTCTTCCATGACTTCAACAACAATCTTATGATAATTTTTAACTACATTACATTGCTCATTTAGATTTGTCTATGTATTAGCACTAAATGTAGGGTTTGAGATATCAGCTAATTATTTCTCTAATTGGCCAACTTGCGCCTCAAGGATTTTTATGGAGGCTTAAATATTTTTCTACATGGCCATAGGCATATGCATAAACTGATTAATTAATTACTGCAACTTCCTCGATTTGTATTGTTGTTTATATGTTTATGTGTAACACTGAAAAAGTTGTCGAATGAGTGGACCAGTTTCAAATCTCCATCCTCGATAAAAGTTGTTTTTTGGAAAGTTGTTGTTTGGATATTTCACATACCTTTGTTGATTTCCTAGACAATTACTTCAACATCAGTTGGGGAGTAAAATCCAGTTAGATGATCTCCAATGCATAATTCATAGAATGTAACCTACCTTTATTAAGGTGTTTCATGCATCTCTTACAATTCTTGTGGAAATGATACCACTCTTTCTTTTAGCATGGTTTTTATTATGGTGTATTTGATGATCACATGCTTCACAAAGTAATTCAATTTCACCTTGGGAGAACATCAAAATGGTTGTATTAGCTTCTATGAATTTGTTGTGATGAAAGAATTTGTTTAAGTGTTTTTCCTTTAATGCATCTCAATTTTTCATTTTGGATGTTGGTTGGTATAAATACCACTAGTTTGCTATGTCGATTAGTGAATGTGGAAACTATCTTATGAATAATGCTTCCTCTTTAATATTTGAGGCTCATAGCATCCCAAAAATCTCGTAAAACTTTGTAAGGTGCGTGTAGAGGTCTTCATGATCTAAATATGCAAAAGGGTTAGCATACAAAATTTGTAACAATCTCGTTTCCATATCCTTTTGACAGACATTCCTTTGTGGTTTAGCTATGTGCGCTAGACATTTTTCGAATGTTGTGGCATGACATGCCCCCAATGTTATTTTCATTGTTGTTATTCTTTTTCTGATTGTTGTCATCTGTGTCAACCATGTTTTATTTTAGAACAAAAGACTCTTCTCGATCTAGCAATCTAGATTTCTAATTTTCCTTTGTGATTTTTCTTGTGGTTCTTTCGATTTCAGAATCGAAAAAAAAGGTTATGTTGGATCCTTTTCTTGCATAAACAGGAAAGAATAACTAATATTATTAGTAGGTTAATATTTGTAAACAAAATATACATATATTCACAAATATTAGCAAAATACTTAAAATGATAAAAACTATTGAGGTGTCTTTAAAAACTAACACTAGTCTCTGGCAACAATTCCATTTTGTTGTGGTATCTAGTTAGCAGTGCAATATTATTGTATCCATAGAGATTGGTTGTGCTTAAAGACATATTCAATCGTTTTTATGATTATAAGCAAAGGTTTATAGTTGTTTTGGTAGCGGAAAAGTAAATCACAAATTTTTAATCGATATTCCAATGTTAATCCCCTCTTGAGCAGTGCTTCCACCTTTGATACGTCTCTCTTATTCTCTTGTTGAGACCAAGGTGAACCTACTACCTTTTATGTACTCCCTTGAAACCATAAAAACTCTCTTATAATTGAAACTGGACCTCTTATTTATAGGTTTAAGAAAGGTAGGCTCCCTAGGCACACCGTCCACCGTCTTATACTTTATTCTCTATTAAGTAATCCCAATTCACTATGGAACTAGGCCTAGTCTCCATAGCTTTCTAAGCACACCACCCATATCCACTTACCGTATAAACTCTTCATTCACTATGAAGTTAATTAGATAGGAAGTCTTCTATCATCCGTGCTCTCCTAGCGTGCCCAAGATCGTGGCCTAACAACCCTTGCTTATAGAAAATTGGTCTTAGTAAGGTCTTTATGCGTTGTTTGGTGATTTTTCAGTCCTTTTCACTTGCTTTTGGTAAATGTGCATGCAAAAAATCCAAACAAGTGTTTTATCATTTTTCATAGATAATTAAAGGTTTTTATATTGGTTGCTTGTAAATAAGTCAACAAGTGCCTGTGTATTTTACGTAATTTTGACAGTTATCACTTGTTAAAAACACAATGAGTGACAACCCTTAATTGTGTAGGGTTGTCAAAGAGTTTTAAGGTTATTGTGTTGTTAAAGCATGTTCACAATGGGATAGTGAAAAACTATGTATATGGTGTTTTCAAAGTGAATTCTATAACCAATCAACCTTAGGGTTGAAATATTTATATGAGTCTATTGAGTCGGATCTTATACTCTAAGAAATGAGTAACAACACTTTCAACTCGTAGGAACTTCAAAAATGGATAGTTACTTTTGCTATTACTCTAGAATATGGGATTCCCCCTTTTTGACTTCCTCTCCCATACCGTTATAGGTAGGGACACATCACTCCCATTGTTTCCATAAATGAGCGATTAATACAAACAATAAACGATATAACTAAGAAATTGATGCACATTGTGAATAATAGATGCACACAATAATAGGTGGAAAGCAAGTGAGACAAATACTATTCATCCTCTTTTGATAAAATTTTAAAAATTGGAGAAATATGTGAGAAATTTTTAAAAATTAAAGAATAAAAATATTTAATGTAATGAAAAGTAAATTTGAAATCTTTCTAAAATTTGGATAGGGATTAAGTATGGATCAAAAAATGAGTAAAAAACCCAAAAGTACAATAAGAAAAGCCCAATAACAACATAACTATCCAAACCATCAACGAAAAAACCCTACAAAACACAAATCCTCTCCACTTCTCACTTCTCTGTATTATCACTAGGGTTTCTTCTCAGCGCCGCACTCTCTCACTCTCTCTCAACCAACAATGGCAGAACGCGGAGGAGCAGCCCCAGCAGGTGATCGTGGCGGTTTCGGAAGAGGATTCGGAGGAGGAAGAGGAGGAAGAGGCGGAGACAGAGGCAGAGGCCGCCGCAGATCTGGAGGCAGACGTGAAGAAGAAGAAAAATGGGTACCAGTGACCAAACTAGGCCGTCTCGTCAAAGAAGGTAAAATCCACACCCTTGAGGAGATCTACCACCACTCTCTTCCCATCAAGGAGCACCAAATCGTCGACACACTCGTTGGTCCAACTCTGAAAGACGAAGTCATGAAAATCATGCCGGTTCAGAAGCAAACCAGAGCCGGTCAGCGAACCCGGTTCAAGGCTTTTGTTGTGGTTGGTGATAACAATGGTCACGTTGGGCTTGGGGTGAAGTGTAGTAAGGAAGTTGCTACTGCGATTCGTGGTGCGATTATTCTTGCGAAGCTTTCTGTGATTCCTGTGAGGAGAGGTTATTGGGGGAATAAGATTGGGAAACCGCATACAGTTCCTTGCAAGGTTACTGGCAAATGTGGATCTGTTACTGTTAGGATGGTTCCGGCTCCTCGTGGTTCGGGGATTGTTGCTGCTAGGGTTCCTAAGAAGGTTTTGCAGTTTGCTGGGATTGATGACGTGTTTACTTCCTCCAGAGGATCTACCAAAACCCTCGGCAATTTCGTCAAGGTTTGTTTTTTTACTAGTTTTATTTTAATTAGCTTATTGTGTTTTGATTATTATATATTATACATTTATGATAGCAATTTTAATTAGTTTATTAGGTTTTGCTCATTTTAGAGAAGCTAAATCCTTAAATGTTAGGTATGTAGTGAAATAGTGAGGCCTATTTTTGAATGGAAAATCTTATTTTGCAATAAAAAACCTATTGAATTTTAACCGATTTAAGCAGTAACACATCCACATTGTAATTGTATTTCATTTTACATTTTCTTGATGCATTACAATTGGTTGTAATGTGCAAGATAACGTTGGATTGGTAGTTTCTATGTTTTTTTGTGTTGGTTTGGTGTTGGTTTACAGTGTTGTGTTCCTGCAATTGAATCTGTTGTTTGCTAAACTTTGTTACTATTGTTCTTTTTCTTTGTGAAATCATCTACTCTTGTTAGTATGACATTTACCCCTTATTGTAAATGGTGTTAACTACACTATCTATTTTGCAGGCAACATTTGACTGTCTACTCAAAACCTATGGTTTCCTGACACCTGAATTCTGGAAGGAGACTCGCTTCAGTAAATCTCCATTCCAAGAATACACAGATCTATTGGCCAAGCCAACAGGAAAGACCTTGATCTTGGAGGAAGAGAGGGTTGATGCTTGAGTTTTACCTGTTTTTTGTTTTATTGCATAATCTATTTTAAGCATGTTAGGAGCTTTCATAATTTGTTCCGTATCTGGTTTGCTTTAATTTTAAGGAACAGAATATCTTTTTACCTTGCAGTTTTGATTGTTTCAACTTTTACAATATAATTGGATGGTTATTTGCTGTTTTTAAAATGATGTAGTTTTGTAACTGTTTTTTATGTTGTCATTGAATTTTTAGAACTCAAATAGAGAGGATGTAAGTGGCTTTGGTATTGTCCCCTCCATATCTGTTTAGATGATAGTTGCCTCAGAAATATTGTGAATTTGAAATACTCGTTTTCTTCTTATGATGATCTACTAATAATCGAAATGGGAAATGTGATTAGTTATGCAAAGCCTATATCATTAAGGTAAAAATTTCCCCAAGTACGGGAGAACTTTGAAAAAAGGATGGGGTTTGGACAATTTCATGTTTTTATCATAAAAAAAGATGTTTCCTTCCCCATGAAATATGAGGATACCATATCATTGTCATTATAAGTTATGTAATTCTTCTCGGTTTCTTTTTGTGGCTTTTTAAATATTTCAGTTCTATTTTTCAATTTTGGTTCTGATTGCACTTTGACTTTATATGACTTTTCTTTTCACATTAATAGCATGTTGTGATGAATGAAGATCTTTGTTTTTTGTGTTTGAGAATATTGTTGCTTGATATGCTTCATGAATCTTTTGAATTTTTGGATTAACAATGTCATATCTTTGGTATTTTAATCTTTTGAACTTAAAGTTGTATAATAAAAATCCTCATTTTGATAAACTTTATTAGAGTTCTCATATGATTCAATGTGAATTAAAATTATTTTTCCATATCCTGGAGTTCTATTAGTGTTATTTGAAGGGTGTCCTACCACTTTTTTTTTTATCTTTGGTTAAATTTGTACCTTTGTTAAAATTTATATCTTTGTTTGACAGAACATCAATAGACCATCAACTCGACGTGTGAGAACAAAATTACTATTTTAGACCATCAACTTGATGTGTGAGAACAAAACTACTATTTTTAACAGCTTTTCCAACATTTTATATATTATAATTTATACTCTATAAAAATTCTAATAATCTCTTTTCACAAAACATACAATTTCCCTAAAAGTCTATTTGATAAATTGTTTGAAGTCATTTCTTTTTGCAGTGATTCCATTAAAGTCTATTTAATAAATTGTTTGAAGTCACTTCTTTTTGCGGTGATTAATTTTATAACATAAGTTAGACTTTGATGCTACTCCACTCCAGACATATGAGAAAGGGCAAGATTTTGATATTCAGATTTCTAAAAAATTGGTTTATAATTTTTTTTTATTGAAAATGGATTATATTATAACAAATAGATGACGCAACTCAATAATATAGAAGAGGAATAAGTAAAAAATATGTATAAATAAAATACTACCTTCGTTTTTTTATATAATAGACAATTCATATTTTAAGTTTATTGAATAATCAATGTATCTAGTTTATAAACTAACTAAATAGATTGATTATTTTATGAATCTAAAAATTGAATTGTCTTTTATATAAAACAAGGGAGGTAGTAAAAAATAAAGTATAGAAATATCACACAATACATTTATCATGGTTCCAACTATACTATTTAACTTACAAGTCCATAAGAGTTTTTCCTTGAAATTTTCACTAAAATAATCTTGAAACATTGATCAATCTAAACAAATTTACAAAGAACTTGACATTTTGCACAAGATCATTCTACAAATCTTCTACAAATGACCAGGGTTTTTAAACAGCTTAATAACCTTAAATAGAACTTTTACACATGTTTAGCTCTATAAACTTCACCTAAACTTTTTATACGCTTAACCTGTACTTTTTAAATCTATTACAAATAGATCACAACAAAACTACACTATTGAATAAACAATTTAGTACAACACACCATAGAATTTTTCAATGTCTTGTTAGTAAGACAACTCAAGTGAAAAAAGATAGTAGAAAGTTTCTATTAAGAAATCTAGTATATTTTAAAATGAGGATATGATTTAATCGATTAAAATTATGTTCTAATAGATTAACCAAGCAAAGTAGAAGACATTACACTTTAATTTAATCGATTGGAAGGACCTTTAATCGATTAGCCATTGTATTTTATATGAACTGTGATATTCGAATTTCTAAAAAATTGCTTTATAACTTTTTTTTGATTAAAAACCGATTATATTAGAAGAGATAGATGAAGCAACGAGATAATATAAAAGAGAAATATACAACATAAAATATAAATAACTGAAATATAAGAAATAAGGGATAGAAAGACCACACTAAAGATTTATCCTGCTTTCACCTAAATTATTTGGCCAACTCAAGTCCCTAAAAGTTTCCTATTGAGATTTGCACTAAAATAATTTTAAACTTTTATACAGGATCAATCCAAACAACCTTACAAATAACATGAAGTTTTGCACATAATTAACCCACAAATATTCTACAAACAACCTGAGTTTTTACAGAGATTCAACTCAATAAGCTTGACCAGAGCTTTTACACAGACTCAACTCTATAACTTTCACAAAATATTTTTTTTTAAGACTTAGCTTGTATTCTTCAAATCTATTACAAAAAGATCATAATAGAACTACACTTTTGAATAAATAATTTAGCACAACATTAGTACAATACAACTCTTAGATGATTTTTTCACTCTTTTGGCACTAAAAGAACTCTAGTGAAAAAGAACTTTATAAAAGAATGTAAGAAATATAGTTGAAAGTTTCTAGATAAAAAATTTAATGATTAAATTGATTAAAACTATGTACTAATCGATTAACAAGTCAAAATAAGAAAGTTTGATTTTCGACGTTACTTAATACATTACTGTTCTGGACTGGGTCAGCCACCGTCGGGCACGACCCAACCCAACTCCTCGTCGAGGAGGGTCTAATGAAGGCCCAATCCACCAACTCACACGGGAAACGCTTACGCGTCTTCCCTACGGTCTCCACGTACTCCCCACGCGAGGACACGTCATCAGACAACTATCCGCGTCCGAAAGAACATGTCAGCCACCTTCCAAAGATCACAGGGCAGTTGGACCAGGATGAAGACCACGTGTTGGTCTTCTATACGCCACAAAGATCCTGACAATTATTACTATTGTGCCTAGTGATCCAACCCAATGCAAAATAACTGTTGGCCCAGTGTTGATGGCACATTTTAAATACCCTCTTTCACTAGTAGGTCAGGTATTCTAATTCTCTGCACTTTGTATTTGCTCTCTCTTTACTCAGTTTCTTACTTTGACATCGGAGTATCTTGTAGGTACACCCCCCTCCTCTTCACCACCACCGTGCAAACTAGGAGCTCACGATGCGTTGCTGACTACTGATCTCATTCTGGTCTGGTAAGATCAATTACCAACCTCTTTAATTGATTACGAGACATTACACTTTGATTTAATCAATTAGAATCACCTCTTAATTGATTAGCCAACTTATTTTACATGAATTGTAATATTCAAACTTCAAAAAATTAGTTTATAAATTTCTTCATATTAAAAATAAATTATATTAGAAGAGATATATGAAGCAACACGAAAGTAGAAAAGAGAAATAAGAAGCACAAAATATAGATAACAAAAATAAAAGAGATAAGTGATAGAAAGATCTCATCAGAGATTTATCCTGATTTCTATTGAGATTTCCACTAAAATAATCTTAAACTTTTATACGTCATCAATCCAAACTACCCTACAAACAACTTGAACTTTTTCACGGAATTATCCCACGAATCTTCTACAAACAATCAGAGCTTTTACACAGGCTCAACTCTATAACATTCACCTAAATTTTTTACAGGATTAACTTGTAATCTTCAAATCAATTACAAAGAGATCACAAGATAATTACACTCTTGAATAACCAATTTAGCACAAAATCAGTACACCATAACTCTTAGATTTAAATTTTCACTCTCTTGGTATTAAGACAACTCTAGTGAAAAAGAAATTTATAAAAGAATGAGAGAAAGAAATATACTAGAAAGTTTCTACTAAGAAAACAAGTGTATTTTGAAATGAGAAAAAACCTCCTTTATATATGAAAAAAATTTGGTTGAAAAAGAAAACAATTCACGTGCCTTTTTAATGATTTAATCGATTAAAACTATGTACTAGTCGATTAACCAAGCAAGAATAGAGAAAAAGTGATTTTTGACATCCCTTAATTGATTAGCAAACTAGTCAATTGATTAAGAGGTATTACACTTTGATTTAATCGATTATAATAACCTCTTAATCAATCAGATAGTGTACTTCACCTTTATAATTAATTAAACAAACTTTTAATCAATTAAGAACTTTCTCGATTTTTATAAAGACGTTTTATCAAAAGAGAAGGGAAGTTTAAAATCCTTTTGTGTGTGTGTGTGTGTGTGTGCGTATATGTATTTGCCTTAGTAACTCAAGAATTACTCTTGTTTATTTTACAATAAATTGATAAACACTAGATATAACGCTAAGCACAAGACTAGGCGAACCTTCGTTCTTTCACATCTTTAGGTGTTTAAGTTCCTTTATATATAGGCTGATGATTTATCTTTTATAGCTTGAAAATAGGATCAATATTAACATACCCTAACAAACTAATAATAAACTATTAAATAAAAAACATAATAAATTAATAACAAACTATTAAATTCATCTCTAATACTCCTCCTCAAGTTGGAGGGTGAGGGTTATGAACACCCAACTTAAACATGAGGTCTTAAAAACTTTCACGCTTAAAGACTTAGTGAAAATGTTAGCATTTTGTTGTTTGGTGAGCATGTAAGTTATGCTTATGGCACCTGATTGTATGTGTTCCCTGATAAAATGACAATCAACTTCAATGTGCTTTGTTCTTTCATGGAAGATCGGGTTTGTAGCTAAATGAAGAGCTGTTTGATTGTCACAATGCAGAAGTGTGGGTTTGATGCATGGAACTTGCAGAGTCTCTAAAAAATTACGTA